TTATAAACATTTGAGCTAAAGATGCATTTTTTAAAGTGTATTGTTTCTGTTAATATCCTGTTTATAAATTACTTCCCATGTTAATTTTTTATTTCAACAGGGGAAACAATAAAAATAAACATTAAAGAAATAGCTTTGTAAAAATTTGAAACAAATAAACATTAATTAAACAATTAAGTCGGACATTTGCAGTAAGAACAAGAAATATTTAATAAGAAAATTTGAAATAATAAGGTTGATGTATTTTTGTTTTAGTACATTTTCGTTTCCGTCTATTATTCAAAACTGTATTGAATTAGCTTTCACCTTTAAAAGACATTAGATTAAGCAGATTGAACAATGTTATTTTCCACTCAGCGTATTCTGTAGCATACAATAATATTTATAAAAATTGGTTATCTAGAGCAGGGGTCTCCAAACTTTCCAGCCCGAGGGCCGCATTAACTATCAAATATCGGTTCGGGGGCCAGAGAGATGCATCTCTGGGGGGTGTCGGTGTTTCTTGCTTTTTAATGCATTGCTCTTTTACCCAACAAGGAAAACCGTATCGAGTTTGCTTACACTTTTCAAAAAGATGTGTATAAGTAGGTTGAATGATGTTACTATCACTTCACTATTCCTTTTTTAATAATATAAAAAATGCATAGGCCCCACTCCCACTTCAACTACCACCGATATCCACAGCTGTTCATCTCACGTAAATGGTCAGTTCGTCGCTGCATTATATTAGTTCTACTTGACCAATGCCTAGTTGACCTACGATATGCTACTTCTTCGTTTCTCTATGACCTATATTTCAATAGTGCGTCGCTGCCACAAAGACAAGTCTAATAAATGGATAGCTCAAGTGTGTTGGGCCAATGTTGTGTTGTAGTGTTATTTATGCATGTTACATGTAGCTAATAACGTGGTGAGCGGCCAGAATGTATACTGGCCCTCTTAGAAGATTATACGCACATGTATACTTACACGCACACGTACACATAGAATTAAAAAAAAAAAACAACTCTGTAGCCAAATCTCATCAATCGATTATTATTGCATAATTGTCACCTGCACGTAAGTCCATAATAGAATAGCAAACATTCATGTGGTAATATTTCGTATTAATGTATTAGTGGCGTCACTAGGTCTGGTTACACACATGTATTAGTGGCGTCACTAGGTAGGGTTACATTAATGTTTTAGTGGCGTCACTAGGTCGGGTTACATTTAATGTTTCGTTAGATCGGGTTACGTTATTGTTTTAGTGGCGTCACTAGGATGGGTTACATAAACATTTCACGAGTTCGGGTTACAATACTGTTTTAGTGGCGTCATTAGGTCGAGTTTCACTAATGTTTCACATTGTCTTCTTTGTGTATTGCAATTTTTCTTTAAAAAGGATAATACCTATTAATGTTTTCATAATAGTTTACAAAAAGTAATGTTGTTGACTTCTGAGCTCGTTGAGACCGTCTACTGCCTTTTATAACGATAACGAATTTATATAGAAAATATACTTTGATCAGTGTCCGCCCACCCCTTAAAAAGTCTGAAAGAACCACTCTACATGCAGACCATTGTTAAGATTTTTAAAAATACATTAGTTAGTACTGTAGGTGTTTTTATTATTGAGTATCGATAACGTCATTATTTTTGTGGCATTAGATTTATGTAATCTAGAATAAAGAAACTCAATTTCGTTTCGTGTGTGTTTGAAATAAACGCTGTGGTGAAGGAGAAATAAAAGTCAACGTCAGTCGGACGTGACAACTCACATCACCAGATAGGCCGAACTCGTGAGACGATGGGTGACTGTGACAGACCTGTACTACAGACACGGACACGATCTTAGGAACCTTGTAGCGACAGTTTAAACTTTAAAGACTGGTCTAAGGGAGGCAATAACTAAAATATATACGCTTTACACTAGGTTAGGTCACTGCCCTTGTTTCCTCGGCAGCAACACATAACTCAATCGACGTTGTTGTAAGTAGCAATTAAAACGCTAAATTAACCAGTCAATATTGAATACGTATTGATCAATATGGAATACATATAATTCGATCAATAATGAATGCTGTAACAGTAATGCTAACTTAAATGTTAGCCATATTTTATTTAACCTTAAGCATTAGAATAACAACAACAGATAATGTGGCAGTGACATACCATTTTAAGGGGACTGTTTAAAATAATGTGTTTATATTGATGTCGATTATTCATCGAGTACATGTTAACTTTGCAGAAATTAAACGGCTAATGTTTACATGAATCGTGCTGTTGCCCATGTGCCTTGTGTTGTCTTAACATTAAGTAGATTACATGTTGTTGTTTCTCTATAAACCAAATGTTCAGACACATTATAGAGCTGCTTTTCAAGGAACACGTTCTTCATATTAGAAAAATAAATGGTGTCGTTGTGCATTATTGGATACTTATTTGATATAGATACATTGTAATAGGGAAAGTTTACAAGCTATGAATTGACTGATCGTAACAGCGCTTACATAATTTCTAGTATGTGAGTAGAAATGTAAAACTAATCTTTGGTTGGTTGAGTGTTGTAGGTTTGACTCGTTTCAGTATATTTGGATGAGTTGTTGGTATTTAAAAAAAAAATGTTCTGTGCTTTTGGCAGTTTTGATTGTGTTTTCTTCTTGTGTAGTCAAACTGTAATATTTTGAATGTTTGGTAATTTTTAGAGCAGAACAGGGCAATATTATAAAACATATATTATACCATATTTTTTTTCATCTGTGAAATCGATTCGTTAATGAATTTCTGTGGTCTGGTCATTGACGTAACCACCCATTCCTTCACACGGGTCGACCTGTCAATTTGTTGACACCCCCATCCCTTCACGTGAGATGTAAATATAGTTATCAACATGTGTCAGTTTTAATTTGGTGTTACACATTTAGTGTAGAAAACAATTTAATATTTCCGAATAGCCAAATGTCTGTATATTTTCTTAATATTGACTGTATGTCATATCAACTCTAGTTGGCGCACCCACAGGGGTCGGCGCCCGAAGTCATCGCCCAACCTACACTCCCCTAGCCACGCAACTAGGTCAGGTTAGCACTATGTATAAGGGCTATTGCTTTTATTAAAAAAAAATGTGTTTCACATACACATTGCACGTCTCAGAAATATTGCTCTACAAATCCGAACAACGTTCTCTTATGTTAAAAAAATATTGCAATACTTATTTTAGTGTATCTGTTTTATGTTAGTCATATTATCCACACTGACATATAGAGTGAAATATGCGTTTATCCAATCGTTGCATGAACATAAGGTCTATTTAGATTAATATTACATTTTACGTAACGGTAACATTATATACACACTATAAACAAAATAATAGTACTTACATTTTGACAATTAGTATTTAAAGTTTCCTTTCTATTCCTTTTCAATGTTGATGTTAAGGAAAATATCCGATAGCTAAATTACTATGCCGATTTGATAATATTAAGAACATTTTTACAAAAGCTAGTTTTGGTTTGGTTAAAATGTTAATATTTATAGTTTTTCAAAACATACCTACACAAAAAAAAGATTGCGTACAATTATTTTACAAGCAATGTGTAGGCTTATTAAGAAAATAAAAAGTTTAAACATAGTTTAAACGTTGAAAGAAAAAAAATTGATAAACTTTGGTTTAACACGATAGAATATTTTATACTAGTCTATAGATTGTTATTTGAAAACAGAAAAAAACAACTGTTCTTTGACCAATATTACTCCAACTTACGAATAACAAAATTACATTATCTGCTGAAGCTGTTTTCGATCTAGATTAATCCAGATCAAAACATTATTCATTTACTTATCATTGAAACTTACTTTTAGAACATACAGCAACCTTTTTTTTTTTGTTTTCAAGCCTAAACCCTTTTTGATGTCAACTAAAATTCGTGTTATCGCCATAAACAACCTTCTTTAGACAGTCAATGGGAAATGAATCTGGAAATACCACGACACTCAAAAAAGTATTATTATCCTCCCCTACTTACTGAATACAATATAACTATTTTCAAATGACTGCTTATACACAGAATTTCGTTTAACATATGTGGCTTTTAAAAGTATTATAATTAATATAGTGTTAATACAAATATACAATACAAACTAGCCATTCATTTTGGCTAAAGACTTGAAATATGTGTACGAAGAACTGGAAATAATTGGACGAAAAGTGAGAATAGAACGATTTGCTGCTTTCGATACACCTACGATTGTTGTTAGTAATAACATAACACGACATATAATGTAGACATATTTAGACCTTCATATATAGTCTGTAGTACGTCCTTATTTACAACTAGCTCAGATGGGAACCTGACTAACATTAGGAAAAACTGAAGCTACAGCTAAGACCTCTGTGCATAATCATTTACATATAGAACACTTTGATCTTATTCAAAATACAGAGAAGAAATGACAGTTTCAATAACTTAAGTAATGATTGTATCAACATAACGCCTGCCATATTGAACACACACACACAGCTTTAAATTGAGCTACATTTGACCAGCTCCAAAAGTGACGCCTACGTATCTTATATGGTTACATATTTTCTATTTTAGTTAATTTTAAATGTATCCATTACATTCGTTACAATGTTTCCCGTATTTTTAAAATGTTTTTTTTTTCGAAGCAAAAAATTATTTACCAATATTTTTTTTTTCTTCTTTGGATATTGTGCAAGGGAATTAATTACCTATTTAATATACCCTTTTTATTAAAGACATAAAATATTTTTAAAAATCAGTCAAATTAATATATGTTTGAAATATTACATACGACAATATTTAAAAATGTTTAAAAAGATCTTAAAGCTATAGATGTTTCATTGTTTTATGTTGAACTATTACTGTATTTGCAAAAATGAACACAGTAGCTATGTTTTAAACTATTTTGAAACACAAGCGAAGATATCGCTTTATCAATGTTAACTCTGCTTTTCTTTTTCTTGATGTAATTACCCTATTCATTTTAAGATAATCTCCACCGGTCTGCTAATATCAATAGTCAGTTGAAATTGTGTTATCGACCAAAAATGGCACTCTCTACTGCCCCATCAGCTGCTGTGTCACTTCTGGTTAGCATACTTGTGTTTGCTTTAATGCAAATCTTCAAAGCTGACATTGCATCTAAAGAATATTTTACAATTGCTGGAGGATTTATTGGTTCCATTTTATTCATCACCTTGTTAACATTTACCAGCAATGTTGAAACTTTAGCATTTGGCAAAGGATTTCAAACAAGGCTGTTTCCTGAAGTTGTAGCATGCTTATTTGCAGCAATGTTTGCTTCAGCTTTAGTACACAGAGTTTGTGTAACCACTTGCCTTATATTTTCACTTGTGGCTCTTTACTACATCAACCGCATTTCTCAAAATGTCTACACTCCATCTGCATCAGCATCAGCTTCAGTTGCTTCAAAGAAAAGGAAATGAGTACTTAATATATTAGACTAGTGGTTGATGAGTGAGTGAATGAGCTGAAATAAGTTAAATAAACTGTTTTAAATTGACCTTATGCTAGAGGAAGTGAGTTTCAACTTTAACTGTGTATCCAACTGTAGACCTGTCAAGGAAGTTTTATCATGTATTCACATTAAATATTTTCTTCTTTATAAAAAAAAAAAAAAAAAAAAAAAAAAAAAAAATTTAAGATAATCCATATTTATTTTATATTTGAATTTAAAACAAACAAAAATCAAGAATTCTGTACATTGCCATCCTTTTTCATGGTAATGTGTATTGTATTGCTTCGCTATTGCCAGTAGAACTCATAATGTGTTGAACTGTATGCATATCATTTTTCGCTTACAACAGAGTACCAGCTATACAAGAGATCATCTATACATAACAACATATCTGAAGAGGGGAGGGTTAGAAGACGAGGGTTTGGTGGCGATGGAGAAAAAAGAAAAATACACGTTTTTGAAGTAAAAACTAGAAAATGAGTTTTAACATTTATTTTGCATTGTCAAGAAAATCGAGCTTAATTAAGATTTGCAAAGAAAAAACATTGAAAACAAAACAATATAAAATAAACGGCTGTATAATGTAATTTTGAGTGAGGTGTTTGGTAAAATGAAGTGTGCTATCATTTTAGGGTAGGAGAAATCAAGTATTGACCATGACCACAACAAAGGCATAAGTTGCTTATCCTCAGATTTTTAAAACGTCTTTACTATTGGTTTAATCGTCAATGTTAAAGTCAACTGTATTCATTGTAAACGCCAACAGAGTGACAATTTCACAATGTAAAGTCTTCTATTTACTGTCTATGTCAGGGTGAGCATGTCTCAATGTAAAGGCTTCTATTTACTTTCTCTGTCAATGTGACAATGTTTCAATGCAAAGTCTTCTATTCAACAGTCTATGTCAATTTGACAATGTCTCAATGTAAACTCGTATGTTAAACTTTTAAGATCATTGTTAGGTTGGTTGTACATATGCAAACAATTAGACAGTAACAAAATCATACATATATTAACACCAAAACAAATAAAATTAAATGTTATGTAGGCCGTGCATAGCATAGCCGAACATATGTATACATATTATGACACCCTAACACAATTTTGCAGTTTCAATTTTTTTTAAAAATTAAAATTGTAATTACATTATCAAGGATAATGGCATTATATACCCCACCTACCAACACCCCGATTTAATTTATAAATTATACATTATAAATAATTATGTCCGGTACTTGTACGGTGCATTAAATTAATAATATTCATACATGTATGTAGTTTCTCGTGTTTCTGACCTATGTTTCTGTTTCTCGTACGAGTTGTATAGTTTATTGTCCATAAACGACGTTACATTCAATGTTTTTTTTTTACGATTACTATACGTCTTCAATACATTATATTTTATTTCTAGATCATTTCAAGTTCTAGAATATTAAAATACATAGCCAAGTAAGTATCAAGGTTCCATTTAAATCAATATTATGATTCTAAAACAATTGAGTTTCTTTCCTAACTTAACTGTTTTAGAATCTTAATCTTGATTTATACACAATCTAGCTACTTGTTTGGCTTTGTATTTTAACATGCTAGAACTTGATATGATCTTGGCTAGAATTGCTGTGTGTATTACAAAAGTTAGATTTGAACGTAGTCTAATATTATTCGGGCAAGTGTTTATATCATTCGTTAATAATTTGTGTCTGTTGTTTTTTAAACTTCCCCTGGGTAGACGATGATGTTATAACCATAATACACCTCATCGAGGAATAGTAGTTTAGTTAAATAGCGACACACACTCACACGCTGCTGGCAAATTTTGAATATAATTGTTGACTGTATGACATCAGGAAAGTATCGTGGGTTTTGTATAATGTACGTTTGGTTTATCCGCGTATGGAAATGTCGTGAGTTGGGTATGTCGTGTGTTGGATGTGCTTTATGCTTGATATATCTTGAATTGTGAATACCGTGCATTTTTTATACGATGATTCGATATGACATGACATAGATACATTGTGTAGTCGAGTCATTTTAATCGTTTTGTCAAGTTTAAGCACGGGTCAATATTCACAACACATAAAATGCAATCACCTGATAACCATATATAACTACCCCACCCCCACCCTTCTCCACTCTCCATCTATACAAGTAGCTTGACGTAAAACAAAAAACGATCTTTCGGTTAGCATAACATTAGTTAAAACTTATCTCTGTTCTTTTCAACTGAGTTAGGAGACGCATTCTATTTCTCATTCACTTATGTCACAATTTAACAGCCTCAGATTAATCTTTTCGCTCATAATATTTTAAAGCAGAGGCGTGCACATCAGATACAGATCAGGCATTATATAACAGTTTACACCTCACCACTTATGGAATCAACTCGATAATAAAATATAATCATAAGGTTAAAATGTAATTGATGAATTGTTTTAACTAGTTACATCATCATACTTTGTAGACATATTCTAAATACATAGTAACATAAGTAAATATCAAAGAAGTAGTACTAAACATATACGAAATAGCAATAAATCTTGGCTGAATGCTTTAAATCTGTGTACACAGAATATGACATGATATGGACATACAATAAAAAACATGATTGCTTTCCATACACCTTTATATCTCACAATTGTTAACCTAAAAGTCTTGAGTTCGGATCCCGGAGTTGAATCTTTAGGACGTCCTTAAGTCCACCCAGCTCAGATGGGTACCTGACTAATGTGAGGAAAAAACTAAGTCCACCCAGCTCAGATGGGTACCTGACTAATGTGAGGAAAAAAACTGCGGCCACAGCTAAGACCTCGGTACAGAACCCATAACAAATAGATAACTTTGATCTTTAGACGAGAAGTGAAATGCTGCATTCAATCACTCGACTACTCCGACCATTGTGTTGTCTGCTTTAAATGACAGTTTCAATAACTGATTAAGGAACATACACATTCACAATCACCTCATTAGAGATATTATTTAGTGTACAAACGCTAAAAAAGAACCCAAATGCATACTCATCTTAGAGCAGGAGAAAAATTTCCACCGAGTAGGGCACACATATCTTCACACAATTCTCAAAGAAAACAATTTGGATAAAGATCATATTTTACAAACCACACACCCACCTACTGATAGATCCTAAAATTAATTAGACAATGCCCCCCCTCCCCCCACCACCTCACAATCCCTTTACATACTACCATTAGAACTCATCTTAGAAAGCATTAGGTACAATACATACATCAGAGCAATAGACATACCAAACCTATCGAACACAACAATTTTAGTCTACGCAGACGTTACAGCTTTTACTCTCCAAACAAAAACAATCCATGTCCTTAATATTCTCCTGTCATTACAATGTCAGTGGCTTCACACGTTGTGTCTGTGTCTTGTTGATCTAGTTAGATTATGTACATTTGGTTTTAGCGTTCTAAACACCAATTAATGTTATCATTTTTTAAAATATTTTAATCATTGTGGGTAGGCGCCGGTAAAAAAAAATACTCGTTATAAAACAATTATTTCTTTACAGCTTTTTTAAAGGTCTACATCTGCATACGCATTTTCACTATAAAAAGGTGGTGAAAAAATCCTGGTAACTATGACAACGGCGGTCATCTTGAAAAACTAACCCCTTCGTAGGCTTTCCACCATTCATCAAATATTATATTTTAAGCCCAATAAGTAATGCATTCACAATTATCTTCCATATTTTGGGGTACTCAGCTTAATTTTTTTTTCTATTGTACATTGTGCATAACTCCTGCGTTTTTCTCCCTTTGATTTATCAACTTCTGGTGGGGTTGAAGTGAAATTCTTGCCTCTATGACAAGGTCTTGAGGTGCTATTTCTTTGATATAATCCCTAAATGTGAGCTCTCGCTAATAATTGCCTATATTCAAGTTTGGTTTTGCATTGTAGCCAGTATTGAATTCATGTCACATGTATATATAAATGGCCTTTTGACTTCAAATTTTTATTTTGGCATCATATTATCAATGTATGAAACATGGAGATCAGGTTCAGTGGACCATGTTGTCTTCACAGTTTAGAAGTACATGGTATCTGTGAGTTTAAAAAATAATCCCTACTGTGGCATGTACAGTTTACTATGATGGATAATTAGAGTTACCAAAAACTCAAAATAACAAGGATTTAATTGCCTAAAAATATTGTGATCTTCCTTTCAATCAACATCTATTGTCCATTTTCCATAACCACAGCCAATAACTTTTATTTGAAACTGTGTTTTCAGAAGCCACTAGTTGAAAATAATATCTTGGTCCAATGTGTTTTTTTTAAATAATCTCAAGGACGTTTAGTTGCTCATGTTTTGGGCAAGTCTAGTTCTATTGATGATAATAAAAAAAACATAACATGTTTTGATACGAAATTATATTTCGGTTATCTATGTAAAAAGTACAGTTATACATTAACATTTGTCCAAAGAAAGTTAGATAAAAACACGGCCACAAACACAATACTTAGAGTTTTTAAACAGCTAGGAGAACGTTGCAGTTGATGCTCTCTAAAATGTATCATGTTCATATTCACCTTCCTACATCATATACAGATCAGAGCCAACAGATGGGGGAAGAGATCAACAAAGTATTTTACGACCCCCACCTTTCACGTGCTATTCTCGTAGTTTATGATGCAAGCAACATGGCTGGGTTTCCAAGTATTTTTAAACTTCTATTTTATAAAATCATGAAAGCGAGTTGACCGAGAGGATATTGTTAATGTAACAGGACTTTAATATGTGCACTTTGAAATTAGTTAGAAAATGTAATACAAATGGGAATATAAGGGGTCATCCATTTATGACGTCCACCCAGGGGTCTGAAAAAAAAAATGACTTTTGCGAATAACATGGACTTTTGTGGACTTATGGGGGGGGGGGGGGTTCAAAATTAAAAAAAAAAGTGTGGACGTCATAAACGGATGACCCTTAAAGAGATTTACGTACCTGAAGGCTTTATTTATTTGATGATTTAATACCTTAACAATACTCATATGTTCCGTGTTTGATGTCATGGGATTGTGTGATTTTCTACGGATACAAGCTATTTTATAACAATACTTGTAACATCTATTTTTGAAGTAAATTAGAGCAGCAGAACAAGTCAAATGTTGCCTAAAAGTA